AAAAATATATATATATATATATATATATATAATTCCAAACTGTAATACTATAGAAAACATTACATTACTATAGGCAAGTGGATTAAAGTGTTTTTTAAAATCAACTTTAAAATGTGCCTTTAAAAATTATATACTAATATATTATGTGTAACATTTTATTAAGTAATTAAATAAGCAACATAAAATGTATGTTTATTTCTCAATATAAAGTGCATGTAATTATTATTATTTATTATTATTATTATTTAAATCTGCTAAAGCATAAATGTTTTAATGTACGTGCTATTATTTCAATGTAATTCAAATAATTTTTTTTTCTACTGGAATACCTAATAAAATAAAATAAATACAATAAAACTAATTAAACTAAACTAAAAAAATAACTAAAATAAAATAAAATAATACAAATCTGTCAAATATCATGTCTTCCACACATCTTGAAACTTGCATTCTTCTTCTTTTTTTATTTATTTATGATGTTTCACATAACGTAAAGTCTGCCTAACCTTGTAGACGTAAAGCTCATGGCTCTCATCTGACAGTGTGGTGCCATCTTCCCTCATAAGTGGAGTGAAAGCAAAGCCAAAAAGCTTCTTTTCTCCTTTGTCCTTTGCTGTAAAAAAAACAAACAAAAAAAAACCAAAGTCCAAAGTGCTTGTCGAGTTTCAAGTGCCAGTAATTTAACTTAATTAAAATGTTAATAAAAATCAGATCACTTCATGAATCAAGTCAAAACACTTGAATATGTTGAGTAGTGCATGCATCATATGACCCAACAGGTTGAATAATGACTAACAAAACAGCATCTCATCCATTTTAAAAAGTAAAAATGTTAGTTTTGTAAATACATACATATTTAGGCACAAACTGTATTTGTATTAGTTGATTCATTTCAGTCATTTAGGCGTAAGCCTTCAGATCAAATGTCAGGAGAAAAATCAATTCACTAAAATACATGCAAAATTATGCCAGCAGTGTGGAAAGTCCTTACTTGAGCAGTGTCTGAACTCAAAGCGCAGATGGGAGCCGCGGAAGCGGTCGATGGGGATGGGCAGTTTGATGACCTCACTCCAGCGCGGACTGTTGTTGTGGTAGAGGACGAAAGAGCGGTACTCGCTGATGTTGTGTTCTCCTGAGCCCAGACTAATGCACTCCTGATGAAAGGAAGAAGAAATGGAAACCGTTTGCTTTTATGTGGCTTTATAGTGTGCATCAAAGTTTGCGACACCAACATTTGCGATGGGTTTATGTTAAATACATCAGCAAATCCCAAACTCATTTACTCCTCCAAACTGACTTCAATGTTGTCTGGACTAAATGATTCATCACATGAGCTACAGATCACTGATATGTTTTTCAAAGGGGTAGTTTATCCAAAAATGAGAATTCTGTCATTATTTACTCCCTCGTGTCATCCCTAACCCGTAGTTTTTGCTTCTGTGGATTCTGTGTGATTTTTATTTCAATATTCATGCAACACAATTCTTTAAGATTTCTCCCTTTATACAACATTGGAACAACATGAGGGTGAGTAACTGATGGCAAAATTTTGGCAAACTATTCCTTTATTAAGGCAGTTTGACATACTTTGAGGATCTCGCCGTCAGCGTAGAGCACATACATGGTGACCTCTATGTTCTTTTGAACGCTCTTGCCTCCTCTCTCAAAGTCTCCTCTCTCCAGTGTGAGGTAGAGGTCATTGCGTATGTCGCCTGAAGATAGAAAACACACACACACACACACACACACACACACACACACACGGTTTGGTAATATTATATGGCTTGGTAAAACTGCGCTTGTTACAAATACGTTGTCATTTTGTTACTTATATTTTCGTTTTAGAGAATTATTGCAAGAAAAATTCAACATTCATGTATCGCCACATGGAGTTTATAAAAGTTCCGACATCCTAGACCAAAATCTGATGACAAATTTTAAAGAAACAGCTGCACAAAGATTTTTACCATTGTTCGGTAACTTTTTTTCTCTCTCTTTTTTTGCTTTGTGAAATTACATCTGTCACAAAAATGTTGTGGGTTTTTCCCTTATATTTTCACTTTGGACTGTTAATTTGAAGAAAACAACATTTATGAATAAATTTGAACAAATTTGAAATAAACACACAAAAGGCTCGCACAAAGACTTTTTTTTTCTTCAGCAAGTTTTTATGTTTGGATTGTAAACATCACTTTTACACACTTTTTCAGAATATCACTTTTTGGTAACATCTATTTATTTATTTATTTTCTTGCTTGGTAAAACGGCACCTGTTACAAATACGTTGTCATTTTATTATATTTACTTATATAAATATAATTTTATATATACACTATACTATACTATTACAAGAAAAACTCAACATACATGTGTTACCACGTGGATTTGAAAAAAGTTCTGAATTTTAAAGAAACAGTTGCACAGTTAAAGAGTTTCCCCCCCATTTATTTCTCTCTTTCTCTTTCTATAAATATATATTCTCTCTTTTTTCTTACTAAAACCACACCTGTCACAAAAACAATGTGTTCAAACATCAGCTCAGATATCCTATACACAAAACTAATTTTAAATAAATTTGAAAGAAACAGTCACACAAATATTTTCTTCAGCAAGTGTAATCGTTTAAGTGCACTGTAAGTGTAAATAAGTGTTTTGAATTGTACTGTACATACCACATTTACATGACTTTTTTCAGATTATGATTTCCATTTCTACAACTCATTTATATTCAAATAATATTGCAGTCATTAATAAAGTTGCTGGCAAACTGTTTTACTTATTTGCAAAGCCACGTTTCAGTGGCATTTATCACTCGGAGGGTGTTAGTTTGGACCCTGACTAAAGATACAAACTCAGAACCAACATACATCAGTCTACTATGACCAACCCATAAAAGTTGGATAGATGCAATAACTGTAAATACATTTGTTAGCATGTTCCTATATCTAAGTGGATTCAAACTTAAAGGGATACTCCACCCCAAAATGAAAATGACGAGAATACTTTTTGTACGCGAAGAAAACAAAAATAACGACTTTATTCAACAATCCGTCTCCTCTGTCTCTCTACGCATCACCATTTTGAAGAATATCCGCTGAACACAAGCAGCGTACGCTATTCTGTGTCAGCTGCGCTGCACAGATGCATTGCTGCTTCTTGCGTTCAGCGGATATTCTCCAAAATGCCGCTACGGTGATGCGGAGAGAAACAGAGGAGACAAATTGTTGAATAAAGTTGTTATTTTTGTTTTCTTCGAGTACAAAAAGTATTCTCGTCGCTTCATAACGTTACGGTTGAACCACTGATGGCAGATGGACTATTTTGACGATGTCTTTCATACTTTTCTGGACCTTGACAGTGTAATTTACTTGGCAGTCAATGGGACAGTCACAAGCCTCCCGGTTTTCATCCAAAATATCTTAAATTGTGTTCCGAAGACGAACAAAGCTTTTACGGGTTTGGAACGACATGGGGGTAAGTTATTAATGACAACATTTTCATTTTGGGGTGGAGTATCCCTTTAAGAGAAGCTATAATCTTGAATGGACCCGGCACACTTAATTTAGCTTCACTTTTAAACCCTTTTACAGACTGTAATAAAATCTATTGCTACATAAAGGTCAAATCGTTTGTCCAGCTAAACAGTTGAAGTGAAACTGTACCCACTGGCTGTAAGAAATCTCATCAAACTTGAGTTCAACCTGTCTTTTACACTGTGATTCCACATGTAACCTTGGTTTTCAGTCGACTCTTTCATTATCAACCTCATTCAATCCATGACCCAGCAGCCCACATTCTCTGAGCCGAGCGGCAAGCATCTGAATCATAATCCTCAAAATAAACACAGACTCTCTCTGGAATTGTGCTTAGCTCTTACCCATCTACTCAGGGGAACAAAGTTTTAGCTGTTAGTGAAAGAAGTTGTGGGTTTAATTTGATTTCTTCCAATTACAGCTGATGCAATAAAAGAGAATGTGTGGCTCTTCAGAGCACCGCTAGAAACCATTTTCCCTGCTGACACCCACCATGCAGACAGTTATGAGTGCAGAGATGTATATTTCGGCATACACCTAAAAGAAAAGCTTAAATTTGCTCGGATGCCACCAGATATCTCTTGAATGTCTTTACTGGGGGTGGATATATGGGGGGAGAAAGATATAAACCAACTTACGCAATAATACTTTCGCTTTATTTTGTGTGTAATGTGAATAATGAAATAGTTTACTTGACTTTTGCTTGTAAGATGAGAAGATTGAGAATGACTCATACATTTTGAGTAACAAGGGACAAAATTGACCGCCTGAGAACATTTGCAAACATTATGAATCTCCATTATACGTATAAACTAATATTACAAAGTAGTACAGAATATAACAAACATCTGCTCTTCTAAAAGTACCCTAACAAAAGTGAATAGGGTACTTTTAGAAGTGAATCCACAAAATGTGGTATACATATGTGTGTGTGTGTGTGTGTGTGTGTGTGTGCAAAGAATGCAAAAAAATTTGGTCAGTTTTGATTTTATGTTTTCTTTTACCTTTCCAAGATCTACATTTAGATTTAAAAATTTTAACTTTCCAAATTTTTTTTTTAATTATTGTTGCTTGTTTGTTCTATTGCACAGCATTATTACACAGGGTTATTATAGTTAACAAAAACTGAAACTTAAAAATTAAAACCATTAAAAAAAGATACTTAAAATGGAATAAACATTAATTGAAATAAAAAAAGAAAACATTTTCAGCTAGTTGCCAACATATCTTACAAAAAAGTAGAACAAAAAAGTATATTAAAATAAAAAAAATGATTAAAACCTATATAGATAAGCTATATAAAATACTAAAAATGACAAAAACACAATAAAATTACCAAAACTTTAACTAAAATTGATTGATAATTATTGACATATTAATAAAACTATAACAGTATCTCAATGATGCTAAAATAACACTGCTACACAATAAGTGTATAAAAATCATATTTTGACAAATGTATTTTTTAATGCAAATGCATGTGAAATTTGACAAAATTGGCACTTTTTTTGTAGGATACTTTACTTTAGATGAAATTGTTACTGAGGGGTAGATCTTTATGTATCTTTATACTTTCAATACTAATTTTGTACTCAATGAGCTTTAAAGTTAAAATAAATAACTGTATTAATAAATGGTTAGGTTATAAGCAATTTATTTTCAATCTTTGAACATTATCTGGAGTCATTAGAAAGCAAAAGTTGTTCAGGTTTAACTATGATCTGTATTTTTTGTTATTAATTGATTCTCATAACTCAATTCATAGTGTTTAAACGTTTAAAATGATTTAAATACAACGTTAAAATGCTATCGAAACATATTTTGAATAAAAAATACCAGTATCATTACTAGAAACAATATTGACAATACTGGCCTTGATGCTGCTTAATATCAGAGCCAAAAGAAAGTAAGCTAACATGCAACGTCCCACAACACAAATGCAACTGTTAGTGAATTGAACAAGAAGAACATCTAGATAAGAAAGCAAATACGATCACAAGTGCTTTCAGAAACAGTGAATGGAATAGACTAAGCTTTATTTAGTAAAAGCCGAAATAAAGCTTTGTGTGTTTGTCTGTTTGGCTGACAGTATCCTACAGTTCCACATCCTGATAAAAATGTTATCTGGCAGCAGCAGGCTGGCTCCCTGTGAGTGCTGGATTGCGCTCCTGTTTAGACGTTTTCTGTAATGGATAACGGCTACAGTGTTAGACCCTTCTCTCCACTGCTTCAGAGCTATTTTGCTGAATAAAATCCATATAAAGCTCTCTATTCAGGCACAAATTCCTTCCAACAAGAAACAATCCTGGTGCATTCCCAGCTGGAAAGAGGAAAAATGACCTAACAGCAGTATCTAGCATATAAAGAAATGGAAGAAGATACTACGGTTTATGTATTTGCATGTGCTCATATTATGTTTTGTTATGCATATTAAGAGGATGACAAAACACAGAATCACAGGAACCCAAAATCTGAGAATCAATCTGGACATTTTTATACTAAGATAACCTTATATCACTAAAACTATTAAAAAAAAATAGTGATTAAATAAAATAAAATAAAATGATCAGACAAAAAAAAAAACATCAGGAAAACTGACTTTTGATGTTTTTCTTTTTGAGAATCCATCTGGATATATTACACTTAAATTACCTTACATCTCTTACAGTATTGTTATTGTTAAACTATTAAAATAGTTTTAAAGCTGAAATAAAATAAATAAAATGAAGCATTAGATGAGAAACATTTAAAAATTAAAAAATATATATATTTTTTTTTCTCAAACTAAAACTATTAAAAACATTTTGAAATAAAAGCAGAAATAAAATAAAAATATAAAATGAAATAAATGAGTGCAACAACTACTAAACCTATTTTGCTCTAAATGAAAGTCATGGTTAGTTTGTTCATGGGTTTGAAACTTTCTGAAATCCCAATGGAGAAAGTGAGTGTGAAAAACACTTCCAGAACCAAGGTTGTTGAAAAAAGACATTAAAAAGAAGCTGAAAGAAGCTGAAATGGATGATGCAATATCAACCCCTCATGACACTAACACCAGAAAAGGAATGTACAAATAATTCTGGAGAGGCTTGTGGCACTTCAAGTGTCATTAACATTTCATAATGTTAACAGTTCAATATCTAATTGCTGGCACCAAGACTTAATATCGTTTGACAGACATATATTGTTTTTTTTTAACGCAATGGATCCCAATGCTGGGACTATGCTTTAGAAACCAGGCCAGTTTGATATTTTCATGGAATAAAGTCAATGCAGCAATCTGAAATAAGATTACAAGGGTTTTTCCCAGACATCGCAGTTCAATAACATCTAAGCCTCTTTCAGAAAAATACGTACCTCAGAAACCCAATGAACCATGGCTCTCAGAGACCTATCGACTTATTGGCGTTTCAAAGCGCTGAATTTAAAGAGCACAGCCTTGTCTGTGATTATAATCAAATTACTTCAGGTTGATCGATCCGTGGATGATAAACCAATCATTGAGCCCTTCAGAAGAGCAAGGAAGCGTTAACTTCAAATGAGAGGGATCCTCAGTAGAAGATGGAGGACCTATCAATCCACCTACCACTGAAGGACATCTGGGACTACAAGATTGATGTGCGAGTTTATGGATGAAGAGAAGAGATATTGTACATGGCTACATGGTTCTGACACTGAAGACTGTTGGGGAATAGACTCGAGAGCCAGCGGTCCATCCAATGACTCAAAATTTTGAAGGAATACACAGTGACATGATTTTATTAAGAGAGCAAATTTGAGAAGCCCCCAGGCTTGTTCTGAATCACAGGGAAGGGATTTCTTAACTCAACTTTGACGTGGCAGGAGTCCAGCTGGTTTTACAGGCCCTCTGGGGTTTGGAGCATAGAGCTGGACAGTCTGTCAAAATGTGGGTCAAATTCATTTATATAAGCTTGATTCTATGCAGTTAAAAAGCAATGAGGGCAATTATGTGCTGCTTCATACGATTATTAGTCGTGCTAAAGGCCCTTTCACAAGACTCACTTCAGGGCTTACACGTCGCTTTGACCTCCACTTGAAAAGCGTTGCAGAAAGCGTCACGGAAGGGTGGTTTTATGAGGTTGCTAGGTAGTGAGAAAACTCTTTGAGTTTAGAAGGGAATAAAAAGTTCTTAGTGATTCCTTTGATACAATGAAATAGCAACAGAAGTTTGGGTAAAAGTATGCTAACAAATTTTATTTTGCAGCTGAAATCCAGTCATTTCAGTAGGATGCGATCTGGAATTTACAACCACCTACAGTGGGGGAAAAAAGTATTTAGTCAGCCACCAATTGTGCAAGTTCTCCCACTTAAAAAGATGAGAGAGGCCTGTAATTTTCATCATAGGTATACCTCAACTATGAGAGACAAAATGAGAAAATCAGAAACCATCTACAGTAGCAACAACCTAGCAACAGGCTAAAAACACATTAGCATCAGCATAGTAACACCCTGGAAACTGTGAAAACTGAGTCACACTTTATTATTTCACTTGAAAAGAGTGAAAATATTAAAATTTGGCCAATATGTTAAGCCGATAATTATTTTTATGTTATGCCCGATAACCGATAAATGGCCAGTATAAAAATTTGACACTATTTTGTCTAATTAAAATAAAAATGTAAAACAACAACAACAAAATAATAATAAATTAATGGATTTATATGCTACCAGTGAATTTAGGCATCACAACATTGTACAGTATGAAAAACAGACACTCATTTTGAGATTTGCTAAATATTACATTAAAAAAATTATTAAATTATTACTATCGTTAAAGATTAACTTCAAGTGACCATTAAATGATCATTCACAATTAAACAGTGACCATTCATAATGAAACCCACTATCAGCCAATATCAGCCAGTGTATTAAAAAATTCTAATAATGGCCGATAACCAATATGGTACCAACATATTGTGCATTATGAATGAATAACTACTCCTACAATGTAGATATTACATGTTTACACTGTTTTATCTAAATAAATAAAATGTTTTTTAAAAATAAATAAATTTACCACAACATTATAATCTACAATACGAAACATATAAATGTTGAGATTTGCTAAAGATTACACATTATAATTAAATTATTAAATTATTAAAATTTTTAAAGACTAACTTATTAATTAGTCACTATTAAGTGATGGTCAAATATGATCTATATGTAAAAATAAAGGAGCATGGAGTACTAAGCAGCTAATATCGGCCAATATAATCTAAAAAAATTATAATATCGGCCGAAAACCGATATGGTACCAACATATTGTGCATTGCGTATGAATAACTATTACTATATTGTTAATATTAACATTTTATATTGTTTTTGTCTAAGAATAAAAAAAAAAGCTACAGGTAAATGTAGGCATCACAACATCTACAGTATGAAAAATGGATATTCATTTTGAGATTTGTTACAGATTACATTTAACAAAGTTATTAAATTATTAGTATGTTTAAAGACTAAATTTAATTGAACATTAAATGGATCTAGATTCAAAAATAAGGAAAATGAGCATGTAGAACTAAATAGCCAATATCAGCTAATATATTTAAAAACTCTAATATCAGCCAATAACCGGTATGGTACCACCATATTGTGCACTGTGAATAACACTTACACTGTTGTACATTTTCTAACTTTAACTTGCTGCAACTGTCTACTTTCAGAACATGAGTATAAAATATTGGCATATCTCTTGGATTCATTCAGTCCTGAACTAATCTTTAAGTTCAGCCGTGACCTTCATGAGACTTACCTGGCATGATCACATCAGGGAAGCCCAGTTTGCGCGTAATGGCCACACCGCGGTTGAATATCATGGGGTTTTCCCTGCGCACCTGCTCCATGTCACCCCTCAACAGCTGCAGTGAGATGATTAGACCTGCACAAGAAGAAGAGTTTGGGGAAATGTGAGACAACTTCATCTTGACAACCACTGTAATTATCCTTGTGATTACGTTAGTATTTATTTAGTAAAATTGAAGAATGTACCAGAGAGATTGCATTTCTGTTACGATTTTGTTCAGGTCTCTATGTCGGCTGCCAGTACCTGCTACAATTCAGTTCAATCAAGACATTGTTTTGGGTCTACAATGCCGCTAATGACCTGGCTCCCCGCTACCTTCAATTCTTCATTAAATCGCTCGCACACCGGCCCGCCTGCCGCAATCAGTCATTCTGATTGCCTGGCTCCCGTCAGTTCCCAGTGGGAAGGGTTTCTGTTCATCCAGGTCCAGAAATATTTCTAGGCCTTCCCCTCGATGGTGGAATAAACTCTCAATTAGAACAGCTAACATACTAATTACTACTGAACGATACCTCAAGACACACCTCTACCATATTCATTATCCACTAGATCTAAACTGGCCTTACTTTGCATGCTGATGCAGCTCATTTTAATGGTTTTCAGGGATCTGATCTAGATTTTCAATATTACTTTGGACTCTTTCATCAATTCCCACACGTTCAACGTAATGCTGCTTGGTTTGAAAGTGACTATTGTCAATCGCTATACTATTGACAATAGACCGTTTTTGTCTGCCACTTTTCTCAGAAATTTAACGTGACCACACTTTAATGCTGCAGGCCAGTAACCAACCACCTATAGCACCACCTACAGTAGCAACAACCTAGCAACCACATACCAACAGGCTAAAAACATTGGCAACCGCATAGTAACACCCTGGACACCAAAGACAACATCCTAGTATTACAATTTTATACAATTTTGTTTTGTATAAACAATTTTAATTAAAATTTTAAATCTAATTTTCTAACTGCACGATTTTCGGTTGTCCCAGACAAAAGATTGGCATCGTGAAACAATTGTGGCGATTTCTGTGATCGTGGCTCCTAATCGGTGGTCCTGTGTCGTACAGTGAGAGTGGTTCAAAGACGGCCGTTTTCACGATCTTGCAACCAAAGATAGCCTACGATACAACATGATCATCGCACAGTGTGTTTGCTGCTACGATCCACGTTTACTGACCAACCAATAAAAATACGACATGAAATCAACGCGACATGGCGCTAAAACATAAAACTGCTTGCCTTAAGAAGCTCTTATCCCTTCCTCTTTCGCCGTTTCCACTTTTTTTCAGCACACATAAAAAACACAACTGCTAAAGTGTGATTTATCGTGCTCTTTTTGTTTACCACAAACGCATGCTGATGACGTTTATTCTTCTATAGTAACGTGTGTTGTATCGTACGAGTCAATATGTGTCATCATCATACAGTCTACCACTGCGTTCCAAACGGGATATATCACCCTCCGAAGGGCACTTCGGAGTGAAAACAATCATGGCCGCCATATTGAAGGGTCGTTCCAAACCGAAGTGCTCAAAACTGGCCACTTCAAAGGGCCCTTCGGAATGAAAGGTACAACTGATGGACACTTCGGGCTCCCATAATCCTTTGCGCAGATTCTTTGCATGATGACGGCGCCTCCGTGTGGGCATGTGATGATGACGCAGAAGGGCACTTCAAGAAACCGTTGTTTGATCCCCTACACCCTCCAACCCTTCGAAGCTCTCACTCCGGAGGGTAAACCTTTTGAAGGGATTATGGCATAGGGATGAGCTCTTCCGAATGGAACGCAGGGTACCACATGTCGTAGCCAAGTTTATTAGATCCATGTCGCACAGTGTGACATGCAGTGATCTTATAGGATTGCTAAAATCGTGCAGTGTGTTTTGGGCTTTTCAATATTACTTTATTCAATATTAATATGACTCGTTCATCATTTCCCAGATGTTCTACAAAATCCTGTTTCCACCACAGGATAAAAAAAAATAAAAAGGTAACTGCATATATTTTTTTTTCTTGCAATATATCTCATAATTCAGAATTGCGAAATATAAATTTAGAATTGCGAGACACAAATCCAAAATTGTGAGATATAATCTCATAATTGCAAGAGAAAAGTCCAAATTGTGAGATATAAACTCACAAAAAAGTCAGAATTGTGTGAAAAAAAAAGTCGCAATTAAATTTTCTAATTCTGTGACAGAAAAAAAAGAATTGTGAGATGTAAACTAAGAATTAAGAAAAATAAAATACCAAATTGTGTTAAGGCGCTGTCGCATTTACCAAAATTATCCGGGTAAAATTGAGTCCTGCCAATAGGAATCTGCTAAATCGTGTGATCGCAAAAAAGTTCCCCACACAGATTTAGTCTATTTCCAAGTTGGTCACTTGAATTCATATAACTTTATAAAATTATATATAACTTTATTGAAGCAGAATTATGTAGAATTTAAAGGAGAACCAGCCAACCACATATAGTTATTTTAACAAAACAAGTGACATATTGACTATAATAGCATAGCAGGATAATGGACATACTTTTTGGAAGGACTGTTCAGTTTCTGTGAAGCTAAATGTTCCTCATCTGATGATAACACTTAAATCAAGTGTACGACCATTTTGGAAGTGCACTTACCGTAGTTAGTGCTGGGGGCGGTGTATTTGGTGCTGGACTTGCGGATAATGTTCTCATGAATCTGGTACCACTCATTTTCATTATTACACCTGTGAAAGAGTGAAGAAAGAGGACAAATTATTATAGCAAGGAAAATATGTTGCTGTGCAGGTGAAGCAGGTGGAATTGCTGCATCAGTATTCAAATGATTCCCAGATGCTTGGAATCACAAATGTAATTTGTCAGTATACAGTATATGTAACTCAGTTTCAACAGTAAAATGTCTTGTCCTAAGGGGGCATCGCAGTACGCTAACGAATGTGCCAAGACTTAAAGTAAAAACTGGGCTTTCATCCAGTGGGCTTTCAAGAGAATTATTCATTTGCCACAATTCCCAGTGATACTCTAGTGTAGCACGACTGCATAATGAAGATCCCTTCTCAAAATGTTGGGAAATAAATTTGAGTGTTGAATGAGTGTTTAAAGAGCGTTAAAGTCAACATACAACACTATTTGCATTTTACTTGTATAAAACAGGATTTTCAATGAGAACAATGTTTTATTGTCATTTGGATTGTGAAAAGTTGTCGTTACAAACCAGAATAGTGCAATACGACCAGGAATGTAACAAGCATGTGCCTTCACTTTTAAGTCATGAAAACTTAATTTAATCAACAAAAAGATAATATTTTATAATCTAGTAATTTATTAGGTATTTCAGATATTGTTCCTTATTATGTTAATTTAAAATGAACATATAGAAACACAATCTTGTCCCCTTTATCTGTCATATGCTATGACATTTATTCATTGATTTACTTACTTGCTATTTTGTATCTCCACATTATTATATAAAATATAATAAAAATTATTAGCATATTTTTAAATACTTTTTTTGTCATTGGTGGTGTTAAAACATTGTTAAAATCGAATGAATGAATGAATGAATGAATTAAATTAACGAACGAACAAACAAACAATTTAATTAATGAAATAATGAATGAATGAGTGTTTGAATGAGTGTGTGAATAAATACATCAATGAGTGAATGAATGAATGAATGAATGACTGAATGAATGAATGAGTGAATAAATGAACAACCTAATGAATGAATGAATGTGAGTGAGTGAATGAATGAGAATGAACAAATGAATGAATGAATGACGTGAGTATGTGCGTGAATGAATGAGAGAGAATTAATTAATTAATTAAATGAATGAACGAACAAACAAACAATTGAATTAATGAAATAATGAATGAATGAGTGTATGAATGAGTGTGTGAATAAATACATCAATGAGTGAATGAATGACTGACTGAATGAATGAGTGAATAAATGAACAAGCTAATGAATGTGAGTGAATGAATGAGAATGAACAAATGAATGAATGAATGAGAATGAACAAATGAATGAATGAATGAGAATGAACAAATGAATGAATGAATGAGAATGAACAAATGAATGAATGAATGAGAATGAACAAATGAATGAATGAATGAGAATGAACAAATGAATGAATGAATGAGAATGAACAAATGAATGAATGAATGAGAATGAACAAATGAATGAATGAATGAGAATGAACAAATGAATGAATGAATGAGAATGAACAAATGAATGAATGAATGAGAATGAACAAATGAATGAATGAATGAGAATGAACAAATGAATGAATGAATGAGAATGAACAAATGAATGAATGAATGAGAATGAACAAATGAATGAATGAATGAGAATGAACAAATGAATGAATGAATGAGAATGAACAAATGAATGAATGAATGAGAATGAACAAATGAATGAATGAATGAGAATGAACAAATGAATGAATGAATGAGAATGAACAAATGAATGAATGAATGAGAATGAACAAATGAATGAATGAATGAGAATGAACAAATGAATGAATGAATGATGTAAGTGAGTGAGTGAGTGAATGAATGAATGAGTGAATAAATGAACAAGCTAATGAATGTGAGTGAATGAATGAGAATGAACAAATGAATGAATGAATGATGTGAGTGAGTGAGTGAGTGAATGAATGAGAGAGAATGAATGAATTAATTAAATGAATGAACAAATGATTGAATTAATGAAATAATGAATGAATGAGTGTATGAATGAGTGTGTGAATAAATACATCAATGATTGAGTGAGTGAATGAATGAATGAGTGAATAAATGAACAAGCTAATGAATGAATGAATGTGAGTAAATGAATGAGAATGAACAAATGAATGAATGAATGAATGATGTGAGTGAGTGAGTGAATTAATGAATAAGTGAATGCATGAATGAATGAATGACGTGAGTAAGTGAGTGAGTGAGTGAATGAATGAGAGAGAATGAATGAATGAATTATATGAATGAACGAACAAACAAACGATTGAATTAATGAAATAATGAATGAATGAGTGTATGAATGAGTGTGTGAATAAATACATCAATGAGTGAGTGAATGAATGAGTGAATAAATGAACAAGCTAATGAATGTGAGTGAATGAGAATGAGAGAGAATGAATGAATAAGTGAATGAATGAATGAATGAATGAATGAATGAGAATGAACAAATTAATGAATGAATGCGTGAATGAGAGAGAATGAATGAATAAGTGAATGAAAGAATGAATGAAAAAAATTAATCTAATTAATCTAAACAATTGTATATATTGGTATACATAATTTTTTGCTACTGTGAGTTTATATTTTATAATTCAGATTTTTTTTTTAATATTGAATATTTATTTTATATTGTTTATAACTTGTAATAGCGAGTTATAAACTCAAATCCTAGTTTATATCTTAAAATTCATACTTTGTTTCTCACAATTTTGAGTTTATATCTCAATAACAAAAATAAATAAATATGTTTATAAAAAAATATCTGAACATTGCTATATATCGGTATATCACATTCATATGAATTTGACATCAAATAATTTTTTATGAAAATGTATCACTAGTGCTATAACCCTTTCCTACTTCATAAAACAAAACAAAACATAAACAAACAAACAAGCACAAAACAAAGCTAAGTAAAGCAAAGCAAAGCGAAAGAAAACAAAACACAAAGCAAGCAAAACCAAAAACAACTCAAAATCCTTTAGTCACCAATAAAATTGTCCTATTTGATTAGCAATAATGTTAAGATGTTTAAACATATGAACCATCAGCAAAATGTCTTGTAAGTAAGAAAAATCACAAATTTTTGAGAATGGTGCTAAAGAGTTTTAGGTTGCATCCAGTGTCCGTTTTTACAAAAGAAGTGGTATATCTTCGATGCTGAGTCTAGAATAACCTATAATCAAGACAATTAACCCCAGCCGGCACAGCTGCATTACCATTTGCATGCGGAGTTTGCTTGAAAAAAACCACGCAGTCAAGTACAGCCAAGTGTTGAGAGCCATCACAATGAAGCAAATCACGACACTCTGCTGCTTAAAAGCAGAGAAGTGCGGTGCTCTCAGGAGAGAGAACAGAGCCATATGCTACGTTCCAGCATCAGTAGCTGCGAAAACGCTGTGGGCTAGCTGTTGGAGGTTCGAGAACAGCAGCTTTCTGGCCTGAGGGGAAGTGATGTTGTTAATGCCTGATTCAGAAGTGACTAAACCTGCCGTGGCAGCTGAAAAGGGACCTTCGTGCTATGCTAATGCTAGTGTTTGTGGTGGCTTAGCGGGCAGATGCTTTGTGGGAACTCCCACAGAGTCCATCTGGTTGGCTGTCTCGGCGACTGGCTCCAAGGGCGTCAAGGGTGGTTCTGGACTGTCGCTCGCAGGGTCACAACAGCATTGCACACCAACACAGGCTGTTTGATGGAAAGTGCTACATTCCAGAAGACGAAGAAATATCTGCTGCAAATCCGATCGGATCAACCGTCGGTCTGGTTTGCCGTGGCATTACGTTCCCAAAAGTCTACCACTAGATGTCCCTAGAAACTAGTCCAGCCTGAATACACATGCAAATACATGCATTGCATAAACATGCATTTTTATATATTTTTTAAAATATATCAACATTTTTTTCCTGTCTTACAACCTCAAAGATACTGATCTGCTCGCTTAAGCCCAAAGTACAGGAAAGCCTTCAGGGCTCAACAAAAAGACTGACCCGGGGCGAGTGTGAGAGAGTTTCATGCCGGTTGACAGAACTGTGACTCGCGCTACAGAAGCATTGCTGAGTCACGACATCTTGTCACACACTTTTATGTCTTGCATTTGGTTTTCTGTAATACTGTACAGAATAATGGTGCAAATTGTGCTGGTTGAAACTTTTCACTAAGGTTGATATACAGTATATAGACATTGTCAAAACTCATATGGGTTTAAAAAATACAATTGTATCTTAAATATATTTTAAATGCATGTGTATGTATGCATGTGTGTTTTAATTATGTACTGTAATTATTATATTTAATTGCTATTAGGGATGCACCGAATATTCGGCCACCGAAAATTTTCGGCCGAAAATGGCCCAAAAGAGCATTTTCGGTTTTCGGCCGAAATACTTTTATCACCGAAACAATACGGCCGAAATGTTGTGATGACAAACTGAAACCGCGACCTGCACGTGCTTGTCTGAAGCAACATGTCTGCGGGTTATGTAATTAAATATGCAATCTAAATAAATACAAACAGCTACACAAACTAAAAAAATACATATGGGTTAAAAAATATAAAAAAATACAATAGGAATTATATAGTTTAAACTGTATATTTATTTTATTATTATTTATTATTTAATTTAATCATTTTCTTTGTTTTAGTTAAATAAATAGGAAAATATTATTATTTATATATTTAGCTTATGGATATAACTACTTGAGATATATAATAATATAATACACTGTTTATTTGAACTGTTTTGATATTTTAAGTGTTATTAAATTAAATATGCAATTATTTAATTTGAATAAATAAATAAATACATTTGTACTTAAATAAACCAATATTATTAGTAGTAAACCCATATTATTAATAATAATAACTATTATTCCTAATTGAGTACAAATAAATACAGAAATGAATAATAATAATAATAATAATAATAATAATAAATCAGCATATTAGAATGCTTTCTGAAGGATCATGTGACACTGAAGACTGGAGTGTTGGCTGCTGAAAATTCAGCATTGTATCAAGGAATTAATTGCATTTTAAAATATATTAAAAGAGAAAACAATTGTAATAATATTTCAGAATAGTACTGTTTTTTACTGTGTTTTTGATTAAATAAATACAGCCTAAGATGAGCATAAGAGACGTCTTTCTATATCTATATATGCACACATACTGTTGGTATTTATTTATTTACTTGTATCAAGGAATTAATTGCATTTTAAAATATATTAAAAGAGAAAACAATTGTAATAATATTTCAGAATAGTACTGTTTTTTACTGTGTTTTTGATTAAATAAATACAGCCTAAGATGAGCATAAGAGACGTCTTTCTATATCTATATATGCACACATACTGTTGGTATTTATTTATTTACTTACTTATTTTCTTGGTAACACTTTACAATAAGGTTCATTAGTTAAACATTAGTTAATGTATAAACTAATAAACTAA